ACACACACACACACACACACACACACACACACACACACACACACACACACACACACACACACCTATTCTCCACAATGAGAATTTAATCCATAAACTTGCATTTCACTGCAAGTGTGGTCACCAAGTTGCATCATTTAATATGAAAACTTTTTAGATGAAGTGCAAAATGGTGTGTGTGTGTGTGAGAGATGGAGATGCCATCCCGCAGCAGGTGCAGCTGGAATTAGAGGGGAAAATACGCACACTTTACGCACAAACTTCATCTAAACTCTGAATCTGACGCCACGTCTTTCAATTTTCTGTCTGCAGCCATAAAATATTCTAACTTCCTTCATTTTATTTTTGTGGACTGTCTTGCCCCCCTTTAACCTGTTTATTATTCCCGTAATTGTGTAAAAAGCGGGAGCTTTTTGCTGTCATTTTTTTCCCCTTCTTCCTCTGAAAAGGTGACGCAGAGGTTTAACAGCGACGCTCAGGTGAAAATATAATGTGTAATTAATGCGGACTCGCTTGGGTTTGGCCTTTACGCGGATTGGCTCATTGCTGCAAATATTTTACACAATAACCTGGTGAAGAGAAGGGGTAGTAGCTTTGAATGCCAGGTCGTGGGCACATTTTTTCAGTCAATAAAGAAGCTGCAGCCCCCAAACATATGGAGAAATAATCAGTAAAAGTTGAGTTTGGTTAAATTTGAAGAAAAACAAAACGTTGTTTATTTTAACTTTTGACAAACAAAGCTTTTGTAAACTGCAGTGAAGTGAACAAATTGGCTGCAGAAGATGTTTTTTTTTTCGGGAATGATTTGAAAGGGACCTTAAAGCGGATCATCCCGACGCAAACAAGCACCAGTCCAAAACCAATTATAGATATTTTTCAAAAGAGTCCTCGCTTCAGCTTTTCTTGCCTTAAAAACTCACTAAATCACTACAAATCTGAAAGCAATAAAGGAAAAAAATCGTTTTTATGTTGTTGACTTTTAGCTTAATATAGCCTATTACACATTAGAATAAAAAAACTCAAGAGAACTGAAAAAAAAATGAAAGCACGCGGGTCTCCTCCTCGTCTCACATTCTGGTTTATGCTCTCATGTGAAGTATCACACACAGAGATTACTCTTCGCTAAGTTCCTTTGTCTTGTGATCCATATTTGAGTTGACAGATCACGAACCAGAGCTCCCCCACTGTTAATGACCCCAGCCAGCAACAGATAGACTCACACTTCCAGCGCTTCTCGCTGCTCTTTGTGGCCTACATGTGTTTCCATACCGCACCTGTTTCCCCGTTTCCATTGTTTCACAAACTTAAACAGAACACTTAAACTTGATAAACTTCTGACTCTGCACGCAACTTCAAATGAAAGGTTACAAACGGCAGAAAAAGGCTGACAGCTATTTTGCTCTTTTCTTATAATAATTCAGAATCCTGCGCGTATTTTCAAATATTTCTTTCCAAAACCGCGAGTTTAATGTTGCGCAAATGAAACCCATTCATGGCTTGTTTTGTATTCATGAGCCCCTATCTGTGGCTGCATCTCTCACATAGAGCCCTAATCCTTGTGTCCTTATTTGCTGATAAAAAAAAAATGCTCTTCAGTTTACGATTAATTTAATCTCAATTATATTCGGGACTTGTCGCAGCCAATAAAACTTGTGGGAGTGCGTAAATGGGAAGGTGGTGGTGGTGGTGGGGGGGGGTGCCTCGGACCCTCGGTGCTCTTGATAGGCCCTATCTGTCTCTCGCAGACTCATTAAAAACCCGGGATATGTTTTAAAACGCGACCCGGATTTAGTCCATCTGCGAGCTGAAAGAGACGGGAGGTGGTCTGTTTGAGCCAAGCGGGGGACTTTGAGTCTGCCTGCTTTATGGCCTCTTTTATTTGGCCATCATTACTCTGTAAGTCGTCATTTTAAAGCTTTTGACGCACTTGGTTTTGTTTTTATCACATCCTTGGACTAGACATATTGCATGGACAGGTTTTGCGATTTTCATCCAATAAACTCGCAACATTTACGCAGAGAAGACAGTCCAATATAAACCAACTAATCCAAAGCACATGTCAAAGTATCACTGAATAACAAGGAAATATTTTTGTTCAATTCTGTTCAAAATGTTTTTAAACTTTTGATAACATAAACTATCTTAAAACAGTCATTATAACTGATCAAACTGGGAAAAAAAATATGAATTATAACTAATTCAGAACCTTGTGCCAAACGCGCACTTTCCACCTTCGATGCGCTTTGACGCGCGCACATTTCATCCTGCAGGTTTTACACATGAAACTGAAATTTCTAGGAACGCATCCAAAGTTTTGTTCATCTCTGACACATCGGTAGGAACATGTTTCCACAGCAGAGTTTTACTTGTCAAAGAAAAAAAAAAACAGGAAGAAATCTGACAGGATTAAATAACTGGAGGTTTATATCCTCTCCGCCAGGCATCGAGTTTCTAACAGTCTGCCTGATCCAAAACATCAGCCCCCCTGTCCTACTTTCTGTTCACAAACACACGACAGACTCCAACACAAGTTTGGAGGAGAGAACGAGAAATAAAACAAAATAAAATCTGAAAGATTTACCAAAACAAAAACAAACAAAAAAAAAAAACTCGTACAACAGTGTCCTGCAACATTCTGTCCCACGTCTGCGGTGTAATTGGTGAAGGATTTTGGATGGAAAAGGACTGCAGAGGAGAAAGCCTTTTTTTTCTTTCTTTCTTTCTTTTTTTGGAGGTGGGGGAAATGGTTCTCGTCCGAGGAAGAAAAGCTCTTTTCAGGGGCCACAATGGGAGATTGGGACAGAGGAGGAGTCCCATCGTGATTAGCCCATTTAATGGCGCGTTTACTTAATTTCTGTATTCACTGGCAACGGTAAACAAAAGGGGGAATAGCACTCACATTTTTAAGTGCTACATGACGTTGACATTTACCAAAAATTTGCGTTGGGAGCGTCAGTTTTATACATAAAGGTAAAACTGGAGGAAATATAAAATCTTTGCTTTGGGAGAAGAAAACGTGTTTTTTTTATATACCAGCGGGTTCTTATCATGTAAAGTAACTTTTGCTCCATTTATGACACAACTTGCTCTGAAGACGCACAAGCCACGATGAGCATTAATGCATGAATCCATTATGAATATTAGCCACTTCCCTGTGCGAAAACGGATGGAAACACCAACAGCATGCAGAGGATTAAAAATACATTTTGTTTAGGAATTTATAAAAGCCACGCGAGATCAAAACAGAAGCTTTGTCTGACAGAAAAACAATGTCGGGGCACTTTAAAAAAATGGAAAATCCCATTGTTTTTGCAAATATTTGAGCAAAATTACGATTAAAACACTTTTTTCTGGCAAAGAAAACAAATTAGTATAGGGAACAAAAATGCCTGCAGCACTTCAGTGATAAGTTTTGACAAATATTTTATGTAGGAACACCAAGTCAAGAAAAGTGAGGAAGGGGGATAGAAAAGAGGATGACACGGGAGGGGTGACGGTGGTCGTGGTGGGGTTGGGTGGGGGGCTTGGGAGGAGGGGCAGAGCAATAATTATGTACAAGCATATTTCTACACGTATATTACAGACCGGGAGAAATGATCGCATCATTTGAGATATACATAATTCAATATAAAATTTTGAAAATAAAAATAAAAATCTGATACAGTCATAAACGGATCCGTTCTTTTTTCTTTTTTTTTTTTTTTAGTTTTTGTATTTTTTTGACCATGTAACCCCACACAGGCAATGACAGAAGTCGGATTGAAAGAGGGGGAGGGAAAAAAAAAGGTGCTTACGACTTAAAATGATTGTCTGATGAACACAAAGTGAAAACAGGATTGCATCTTGTTTGCACGGCGGCTTCCTCACCATCATCATCACTTGGACTAAAAACCGGATATGGAAAACAAAGAAAAAATAAAACAAAAATAAAAAATAAAAAAGTGCGACGAAGACACCAAGACGATCTGTTTTTATTCCCTCTGGTTCCTGATGGAAAAAAAAAAGAAATCTTGTATTCAGGTTGTTGTTTTTTTTTTCTCCCTGATTACAAAATAAAAAATAAAGTAAAAAATAAAACCATGCAAGTAGTCTAGTGTTGTTGGTGTGGGGGTGTATGAAGAGGAGGGGTAGGCGTGGGTCCTTTGAAAGCGCTTTGAATAAAAAAATGACGTGCTTTTATCTCTTTTTTTATTTTAATATTTATAATCAATTGGTCCTTTTTTTTCATCCGCCATATTTAATAAGTCTTTCTTCTTCTTCTTCTCAGGTCCATTTTCCCTGTWAATATTTCTCTCTTTTTTTTTGTTTTCTGTGTTATTTCTTTTTTTCTGATTTCTCTCTTTTTTTCTCTTCTTCTTTTTCTCTCCGTATCATACATCGCACTCCGAGTCGCTGGATGTGACGGACAGGATGGACGTCCCATTGTCGACTCTCTCAGTCATACTGGAAACGCTGGTGGTGGGACTGGCCGCGGTCGATGGCGACTCGGCCGAGCTGTGAGGGGTGAGACCGGCCTCTGAGAGGGACCTCATGCCGCTCGGTCCTATTGCTTGGTGCTGGAGCCTGTGCGTAAAAAGAAGAAGAAGTAGAAAAAAAAGAGGCGAGGAAGTGGAGAAAAAGAGAGAAAAAAAGAGGGGGTGTAGAAATGAGAGAGACGGCAATTAGACCTCAGTATGTCCCCCCCAAAAGCACCACCACCACCCCTCTTCCCCCTCCTCCTCCTCCTGCTGCAAAATAGGGGTTCAAACTCGCCTTTCTTTCCCTCTGCCGGCCCCAGCCCATGCATGCATGCTTTTATCAAGCTTCCAGGGGACAAAACGCAGCACTATTTAGACACTATTTAGACTAACAAGTGTTGGGAGAAATTTACTTTCCCTTCATCAAGTCACAATCTGCAGAATGGTTCTTCTGTAGCATAAACAATGAATCTAAATGAGTTGTTGTTGTTTTTTATTTTCAATTTGTAAAAAAGTGAATTTATTTTTCTCAACACAATTTGACTTAAGCCGCGTTGCAACCCCTGGTCCTGAAACACAAAGCAAATCTGCGCCCTGCGAGGCTTTGAAGCGGTCTGATGGGAAAGTATGAGTGAGGTCCATGTTGCTTCAATCATCCTAAATGTTTATCTCCAATCCACTCATGATGATAACTCCATCACGGCGGGATAATGTCAGAGCGGAAATAGATCTATTCATTTATCTAAAAGATTAGAACAATGTTCATATGGCTTAGTGCTCTCCGAGGTATTTTCTAATTATTATGGCTTTCCAATGAAATGATATCACACATATAATGTTATGAATGACACTGCTTGCCTTGTACGCATGCTCCTTTTAGTGGAGTAATATCACTAATGTTTCTGTCATCCTTTTGGATGAGCCTCACGTGCGTCAAAGACACTTTATTTACATATTATTTAGGCAAAAAGCACCAAAGACGTTGCACATTTATGACGTCTAATAAATTATTTAAAATAAGCTGGAGTAGAAAAAGAGATGAGCCGTGTTGCAAAATGCCAAACAACTACAAACGTGTTTTAAACAATTTTAAAAATCTTTGTTTTACGTGCCAGTGATATATTGTAATTGTTTGAGTTTTTTTCCATTATATGATTATCAAATTTGTGTAATAATTATTTATATTTATGTTTGTTTAAGTGTATAAAGTCCAGACGCTTGTGTTGATCAATTTCAGCACGTTTTAATATTTATTGCTTTAAAAAATAAACAAGAAATTTTGTTTTCTTTGCGTAAAAATGTTAATTATTGCTTTTTAGTTGTTTAGTTTACAGTTTAATTGTTACATTTTATTATTTGTTTATGTATCTGTCATTAAATTGAAAACTTGAATTTTATTAATTTATAAATATACTTTTATTTTTGTTTAAATGCACCTAAAAACATATGATAAATAAAAACGGGTTTATTTTAGCCTATATTACGCATACAATATTTTGTAATATTTAGAAAAAAATAGTTTTTTTAATAACTGGTAGAAAAGTGTTATGTTTTTTACTTATTTATTTCTTCTGGTTACAACACACCTGACTGTCGTTTCTTAGTCAATCTGTCCGGAAGCAAAACAACTTTTCAAAAACATATTTTCTCATCATTTCTATAAAAATCAAGTTTTCCCTCACAGGTTTATGCACATTTTAGTGTTTTGAATGTTGCACAGAAGGATTGCCAACCTGTTTTTGGCCGCCGCAGCTCTGTCTCTTTGCCTCCGGTTTTTAAACCAGTTCCCGACCTGTGTAGGAGTGAGTCCAGTGGCTTGAGCCAGTTCCCTTTTCTTGCTGGGGTTCGGATAGGGGTCCTGAAGGTACCACTCCCTCAGCAGGCTCCGTGTCCGCTCTTTGAAACAGTGCGTCTTCTGCTCCCCGTCCCAGATGGTCCGAGGCAGCGGAAACTTCTTCCGCACTCGGTACTTGTCGACCGGTCCGAGGGGACGACCGCGCAGCTTCTCGGCCTCCTGGTAGTGCGCTTCCAGCCACATGGCCTGCAGCTTGCCGTGCGAGTCCTTCGTGAACTTGTGGTTCTCCAAGATGTGGTAGAGGTCTCTGAAATTCCCCGTGTGGAAAGCCACGACGGCGCGGGCGCGCAGGATGGACTCGTGCTTGTTGATCGCTTCGCACGCTCCCGGAGCCACCGGCAGGGACCAGAGGAAGCGGCCCAGCCGTTCGATGTCCCCGGTCTCCTCCAGCGTCTCGCAGACGCTCGCCACCTGCTCCGGGGAAAAGTTGAGGGTCGGTAGCTGAAACATGGACAAGTCTTCTGGAGACCTGGCGGTGGGAGCGCTGTTCGCCAGCAGCAGTGGGCGATCAGCGAAGTTCGGCAGGAAGAAATGGGAGGGATAAAGCTCTAAAGGGGATCTGAAAACCATGGAAATGACCTGAGAGAGAAAGAAAATTACCGAGAAAAAGGAAAAACCGAAAAAATACGGCCAGTAAAAAAGGTTGAATGATTCAATGGCTATCGCCTAATGACACCAGCCTCATAATATCTCCCCCCTAAATCCGCCGTTGAGTGTAGCATTGAAACATTTTGTTTCCCTTTTCTATTGGTCTTCTTGGTGTCGTTGTAGCGTTGTCATGGCAGCCCTGCCAATCACTGTCAAGCGTGCCAATCATTAGCCAGTACGTAGCGCGAGGCTTTCACCACTTGTGCAGCACGCACGGGGGGTTATCAGAGTCTCGGATCTCCACAGCAACCCTCCCACTGCACCGTGCGCGTCAGGCACAAGCCAATGCTCGCCTATCTGCTGAATGGAATGAGCAATTAGAGGGTGGAATATTATTGCGATCTTAACGGGGCTCGTTAAAGCTAAAGAAGATATGTAGACTGGAGATGCTTTGCAGAGACGGGGAGGGAGGGAGGGAGGGAGGGAGGCTTTAAATGGGTGACAAATGGACAACCAATGACTGCATCCCGGGATTACACGTTTTGAATAGAAGCGAGTCAATTTGCACAATATTTTTGAGTAGTTTTTTTCCTGCTGTAGCTCATTTTTCTAACATTTTTTCCATCTTTTTCAGGTGAAAGGCAAATAGTTCCAGTTTATTTTTGTATAGTTTTCTTTTTTATGTGCGACAAACTTCTCAAATTTGTTCGGGATTTTGATGTATTTTTCATTTTTATTATTATTTTTTAAATTAGTTTTGACTTTACTCTCGCTCGCTTAGGTTGTGTGCTCACTTTATGTACTGCAGCAGCAGAGAGGCGCCGCTCCCCCTCCCGCTGTCCCCCGGCCCTGCCTCTGGGACGCAACGTGCAGCCATGGCCCCCTGCCCGCTGCCTTCTTTCTAACCAACACATCCGTAGTTCCGAATAAATATCGATGCGCAGAGCAAGATCCTTATATTTCTATTGACACACGTCCTTTTAATAAATTTTATTTTTAATTAATCCAACCCTCTAATTAAACCCATTAGCTTAGAAATACAATTAAAGGCCAACATGAAAGCCTCTTGGAGACATAAAAGCAGTTTTTTTATGTATTTGATCCAGTGTTAAGGACACGATCAATGTCCACATCCAGTCATGGGGTTCGGCTTACAGCGGTAGCCAGGCGGTGTGATTTTCATGTTTGTGGCTAAAACGGCTTCATATTTAGACAGGGCTTACAGGGTGTTAAAATAGTGTGAGTTCACTCTGAAACGAACAGTGCCCGCATTGTGAGCGAGCCATGTACAAGGCGTAGCATCTAGACTCTGCTTAATCCGCCCTCAATAAAGCTGACATAATGATCCTAAGCCGCCTTTCTGCAAATTCATTCAGGGATCCAAAACTTTTTTCCCCCCTCTCTCTTTCTCTTTGCGATTTGCACGTCCTCTCTGGACCCACCTGGACCGCCGACTTCGAGCTCAGAAGGACAGTGAGTACACCATCTCCACTTACATGCACAGTCAGTACCTTTCTTAATCCTCGATGACACACTTTAACAGCTATGGACGCCAACGCGCAAAAATCCAAACATTTGCGCGCTTTTACGCACGGGAGTTTACGGTAAACCGGTTCTTTGATGCGCGCGTGAGTGCGTGCGCGCCTGTCGTGCAAGTGTCCGTGTCTGGAGATGTGTGTGTGATGCAGAGCAGGGGTTGCGATGATCTTGCAGCAGGGTCAGACGTTTTGGTTCGGGGTTTGGGGACGCGCGCTCGAGCTCCACGAAACTCTGAACCGCTAATTCCAAGTGGCACTTGAATTGGCCCCATTGGAAAGCTCTGTGGACTGGAAGTAAAGGCTGGTATTTTCACGCTGGTGTTAAAACCAACCTTCTAGCCTCTAACCCCTTCTCTCTCCTTTTTTTTTTCCTCACGCACGCACACAGACATGCACGCACGACACCAGCGCTGAGTTGTGGGTGCAAAGCTTAGCACTGGGAAAATGCAAAGCCTCCTACCTGACTGGGTGCACTAATTTGGGTGATCACAATTCAAGCCGGGGCTCCAGGTGTTCTCAATTCTGCCCTGGAGGAGCCTTATTTGGGAGTTGCCCTCGCAGGCAGTTCGGAAATCACTTCTAGGAGAGACTAGAGGTGAAATGTAAAACCTGAATGGGGATTGGGAGAGGAAAGCCATTGGTAATTCACATTCTTCTACATGGCCTTTGTTTACGTTAAGCATGTAATTAACACCCCCCAAACAAGTTTATTCACCTGCTGTAATTGTGTGTTTATCCGAGAGCCTGCTGAATGTTCCAAGCAGCGGGAGATGGGAGCTCTGAATGCGCACGGAGAATTTAGCGTCTTCTCCGTTTACTTACAGCCTAAAACCTCTACACAATGCAACACAAACAGGACTTTGCGCGCTGCACCGCTACAATTGTGTTGCTCAAGGAGACACAAACAACTGAGCTTTGCAATCACGTGTGACTTAAAAAAAAGTAGTTTTACTTTGTTTTAAAAAGTTTTATTTCATTTATTATTTTAATTAGAAAAAAACTGGCATTTTTATTCTCGTAGTTTGTTTGGCAACGTGTGTTTATTTTTGTTATCAGTATCAGGCTGCACCAATAAGAGGAGCAAATAAACAAAGATGGAGTTACGTCATGAGCAGGGGGGAGAGAGAGAGAGAGAGAGAGAGAGAGAGAGAGAGAGAGAGAGAGAGAGAGAGNAGTGTGTACAGTATCAGTGGTTTGGATTAAGTCAGTTCACCCACCACAGCCCACCCACTCCCTGCCCTGCCATGTTGTCATCAGGCCCTCAAACACATAATTAAACTCGAATTAAAACCAAAAACGTGATATAAAAGTGTGGAGAGGTTGAAGAAAAATCACTGAGATTTGCTTGAAACTTTTTTTTTACTGTATCCTTCCTGCATCATACCTGCTTTGTTTTGGCTCTTCATTCATTATTCAGCTTTAGATTATTAGCTGTATGATGGCAGATGTCAGAGCGTGATGGAGGTGTTTCTGATTGACTGATTTAAAGAGCCATTATCCTTCATGCTTATCAAACATTCATGTGTGGCAGCTGCAGTTGTGGGCCCGGTCCTCAGTCCTCTCCTCCCTCATGTGGCTGCTTCTGTCCCCCTCAGCCCCCTCAGTTATCAGCCCAACACACCGCTGAGCTAGACACAAAGTGCAAAACAATCACAGACTACTAAACATTTACGTTTCAATAAAAATCTAAAAATTTGAGTGGATTCAAAAATGTAAAAAAAAGGGCAAAAGTATTTTCTGTTTGCACACTTTTAAGCATTAGACAAGTAAAGGAGAACTTGATGTCAGGTAAGTGATGAAAACACGTTCAAATAAATAAGCAAATAAACAAATAAACAAACAAACAAACAAACAAATAAATAAATAAATAAATAAATAAAATCCGGCATGAAAGAAGGGACCTTGTTTTATTTTTCTGCTCCCTCGTTGACCCCTGTTTGGCAGAGCCTGGTCAGGAAAAAAAAGAAAAGGGAAAAAAGAAAAACAGTAGCACACCCTCCCTGGCAAACACAGGAGGCTCATGTGCTGCTGATCCATCCTGGCTTCATCTTTACGCAGGACGGAACTCTGGACCAACAGCCTAACTGGTGCGTAAAAATATATTTTGTTATTCTAACAGTTTATTCTTTTGAACACATTCCTGTCTCGCTAAATGATATTTGAAATTAGATTTTAAGGAATTTCTATTCTGCCTGTATTTTTTTACGTAAAGATTTTATTTTACCTTTTTTTTCCCCCTTTTTGTCCTCCCTGCAGAAGTTTGTGCAGCTAAGCTTGGAGTTGGAGGTGACACCGGTTGGTTCACTTTGTCCCAGATTTTGATGGAAATTCAGCTGCGACTCTTGTAAGTTCTCTCAACTGGAAGAGCTCGTTTCCGACTTTTTCGTTGTTATCATCTTTTAACAAATGACATTAAACGGTTAAAAAACTTGAAGCATCTAACTTTCTGCGCGCTATTTTGTATTGTTTTCTTTTATTTTTGCACAGAAATCTTTTAAAACACATTTTTCATTGACGGGGTTGCGGGCAGATGCGTGGCTCTGCAAAACATCTGATGCGCACAAGCTTTCCCTGCTGACCATCATGCCAGTGTAAAGGACCACCCCCACTTTTTTTTCTTTTTTCTTTTTTTTACTGTAAAAAGTGTCAGTCAATCATTTTATCCACTTTGGTTGAAAGAAATAACGCGACCTTTTGTTCGAGAAAGTTTTTCTCTCAATTCATTTTTTTCAATGAACGTCTAAGGTGTGTGCATTTTAAGAGACTTATAAAGTAAAGTTTGTTTCCATTAAGTTTGTGCACTTTAGGAGCATGCACGAAAGTTGAACCTAAACTGAAAAAAACTGAGAAAAAGTGCAGTTAACTGTTCTCACAATGACTTGTAAATGTGGCGCCACCTTTAATAACATGCACACAAAAAAAAAAGTTTTTAACATCTCTTTCCCCATCTCCCTCCCTCTTTTTTTCTTCTTTTATTGTTTTTATTGTGTGGTCTCATTAGGGGGGACTTCCTGGCAGGGCTGGGAGCTTGTATCGGAGCTGTCCAATCAGTGTATTTACACGGGTTGTTAGCGACAGTTAATGAGGGCTCCTCCCCGGGCCGGTAGAGAAAGGCGCCTCAACATTAAGATTTACCTTGTGTCAACTCGTTACTTCTAATGAACCTCCCTGAGAGAGAGAGAGAGAGAGAGGGGGGATAAAAAAAAAGAAGCAAGCCTCCAAGTAGTCAATGGAGCCGTGCGCCCATCTTGTGTGTGAGACTGGAAGAGTGGAGCTGCAAGCTGCAGGTTGCTTTTTCTCTGCAGACTCATGGTGCATGCACGCTCTGTGTGCATGTGTGAGCACACATTTCGAGGAAAGTCACCTTAGCAGGCTAAATGGATTTGAAGACATGCGTTAAAACTGATAACTGGATCTAATTACCAATAAATTTATGATCAAGCTCAGAACGGAGGAGCAGGACATCCGTGTCATAAACTCCCCGCGCCTTCCCTTTTGGTCAGCTTATTTCCCCTGCAGAAGTAAGTTAATTTA